GCAAAACGGCTGTAGCACAACGATATTCATCCATCCTCATCTGGTGAGATCGACCAAGATTCATCGAAACCCAGTTTTTCTTCATATCTACAATGAAAATATTTTGCTTGTTCACATTCATATTAAACGGGATCAGCTTCTCGATTGAGGGAAAATGATTTTCAGGTCAATCTTTCCTCGAACTGAGTATAGAAAGTACATTTTTTTAGTTGATTGAGGTTTAAGTGATCCGACCATATTCGAATTTCTGTACAAACTAGCCAAAGACATTTACTGGCCAAGGTTCATGTTTTACCCCTCGTGATCTGCTCCTTCATTCGCGTGTTTCTTCTTCGGTTTCGTCATACCACTAGCATCATATACCGAGCCTAGTTGATAATTGTTGATACGGGAAAAAAATGTACGTTGAACTGACTCCAATTGTTTATTTTTTTTTAAATATAAGGAAATAGCAAATGTACCACAAAGGAACCAGAAAAGAAAACCAGGATACAATGTTCAAAATAGTAGGGTCAATGCTGGGTCGAACTGGGAGCTATTCGAGACAGACATTTGTAGAAGGATAGGAAGCAGAAACCACGTTTTATAAAAATATTGTTAAAATTTAGATAGCCCCTTAGTCTCAGAATCCGAAGGCGAAGACCTTTAGGCTCATCAAAGTTTTGCAGGACGCTGTAATATTTTTCCGCACCCTAAATAAGATCCATGACTTGGCCTGATAGCAATTGATTTCCTATGGGCGAGAGGAGACGACATTTTTGCGCTGTCTGGCCTAATTCACTTTTAATATAGTTAAATCAGCAACATCTAATTGCGCGTCTAAAATATGGTTACACAATTCCCAGTTTATCCTTGGGAACGTTAGGGCAGATAAGAATTATCCACCTTTGACAGGCACGGCTAGATAACGGGCTAACATAAAAGGTGGGCCTTAATAAGCCAAAATATGTAAATGCGTAGTTGCCTGAGTAAATATGAGATAAATTAAGATGTATATAAACAAAAATAAAAAAAGGGTTTATCATATATTGGTTCAATAGGCTTTGTTTCATGTCAAGAATTATGACAAGGTTTTCTTTCCTAAAGTTTTGCCGAATATGTGCACACATCTATAGGCAAGACCATAACGGAAGTTGTATTGATGCATTAAGACAATTTTTTACCAAAGTAATTTAAGTTATAATTTCCAGTCTATTTCATGTGACAAGAGTCAGTGCTAAACTGCTCGAAGCAGTTCAGGAGGGCCCGAATGCCTTTTGTGGAGAACGAGGCATGTCCTGCACTCGGATGGGATGTAAGGAAAGCTATTTCTGAAATATGGGGGTATTATAAGGTCTCTACTACTATTATCCCTACTCTGTTTGGTTTCAGACAATTTTATCAATTTTGCGGATCAAAAATAAAATTAAAAATTCGTTTACAAGCCGTATTATTCATTTTAGTAGGGGTTGTGGATAGTGACATGGAATATAAACTCGAAGAGTTGAAGAAATGTCCTGGTTTTATATTTAACTTCTCTGCAACCTGCAGAAAATATAAAGATTAGTGCCGTAGCTGCTTGGCATCGAAAGGCATGTAGGTCGTGTAAAGTAATAGCATAGTAGTCCCTTTTAATGTGCCTGCCTTTGTACCTGCTCGAATCTGGCTGTCTAGCCTTGACACAGGTTCAACTACGTTAACCATAAATAAAAAGTTTTCCTTAATTCATCGTGAATAAAATCACTGTCAGTATTCATAGCACTATACCAAAAGGAATGCCACATCCTGACAACCAAAATGTTTTCTTCCTTTAATTGGATAAAATGGCTTGACAGCTAGTGGGGCAGGGATAGATAACAATGAAGTTATACGCATTGGGTCTTTCCTAACATCTCTCGTGTACAAATTGGCACTCAACACAACTCACTAGATTGTAGGTTATGCTTCGCTCTTAACCAGACCCTCAGAACAGAGCTTTTAAGCTTGAAGTAAACTGATTACTAACGTATAAAGAACCAGGTATTATGGTCTTAAAGTACATTCTTATACATCGCGAAGGCAACGTAATCGGGAATGTAAGGGCAGAACACCAACCTTAACATAGTTGTATTCCACAAAAGTTATGATTAAAGAGTGAAGCTTCTTAACAAATTTTATTTCAATCGACTGTGGCAACCCTCCTTCATCCATCCAGGCTCCTAGTGATGCACTTTGATTCGAATGCATATGGTCAATTTTCTAATCTCCACAGCTCTGAATCCTCTTTTATTCTAGCATAATCCCAATGAGTTTACTGAGGTGTAATCATTTTAGAATCAGGTTTTTTCCTCCGGCTGTGATCAGAAGGCAGGATTAGAAGGTGATGACGATCATCATTACGCCTCACAAAACCTAATTGTAAAGACACATCCTTAGGATATATTGTTACAAATGATGTTATTATAAAGAAATATTTAAAACTAGCGATATGAAGTCGTTTGCTCTTGCTTTCGCAACATGGTCATATTTGCAGGAAGACCTATAGGAACGCACTTCGACCAGAGTCCATAGAATGCATAATAAATTCCAGAGTCTGAGCGCCGGCGTCGTAGTAGGCATCTTCAGTGAGTCTTGCCATTCTTGGCACCACACTACAACTCGTCAAAGAGACAAGTGAAGTCAATCCTTTGACCAAATATGCGCCAAACAGTTGTGATATCTCTCCTTCTGTCCTGGGCTATTCACCTATCCTGGTCTTGATATCTTCTACTAGCCAGATGAAATCGGATCGAGGGGTGGGAATACAACATACTAGCTAGGACATGTATTAAGGCTGAAACAAGTAGAGATACCAGAGTAGTTAAATTAAAAATAAGCTTCTACCAGACAGTCTTACAAATTGAGGCTGAGTGGCATAACTAGCTTCAATCCTTAACATGGCTGACTATGATGTCGGCGATCCGTCAGGAAATGTATTTACTTAACGTTACAATGATGGGAAAAGACATGACATCAAAGGGAAGGTACCACGTCCACGGTTCAACGTTGGAAATGATCATGCAGACAATGGACTCCGGACTAGGTGCGTTCCTCTATGTCTTCCTACCAATATGACCATGTTGCGAAAACAAGGTCAAACAACCTCTATACAACGAAAAGAGACTGCGACGACACCAAGGGCCACACCATCTTGGTCTTCATACCTTTGTAAAATTATAATTGAATTATATTAGTTTACATAGTAAAAATTAATAGCAATATGCAAAGCCTAGTGAGTCAACATTATAAAGATCATTAATCTCTGTTTATAACTATCAATGAAACCAGACACCCCATGAATCCGATCTTAGTGAAGAGATGAAGATCAAGATGCTGTGGCCTCTATTTTAGTCATAGTCTCTGTTCGATGAAGAGAAGTGATCTGACCTCGTTTTCGCAACTTGGTCGTGTTGTCAGGCTGGCCTAGTCGGACGAATCTTGCCCGAAATTCCCTGCTATAGTAATTATGATATTTGCCATCCATGGACCGTTTCGTCGGCAATTTAATTGGCTCCGTCAGCGAATCCTGCCAGTCCTAGCACTAGGCAACAACTCATCAAAGAGATGAGTGATGCCATTCCCTTAACCAAAAATCTGCAGTACGGTTGTGCTATCACTCCTCTTTCTGTCCTGATACATCTACTTTTTATCTGTGTAGCTCACTCTCTATCACAACTTCTGATTTGTTTATATTCGACTCCTCGGAGCAAACAAGAATACGGCAAGACTAACAGAATGGGATGCACAGATCAAGAACCTATCATTAACAGGAAAGGGATTGCAGGGAAGAAGCGTTTAAGGAAAATTCAGAAATCAAGGCAAGACGTTCTCGATGAGTATAGTCTGCCCGAAGAAACAACTACAACGTTTTGGGTCTAGTGGTCACAAGACCAAGAAGACGGATAGACAACTTGACTATAAATCTACTCGAGATATAGTAGGAGACCAGAGATAGACTTTCACAGTTTGCATAGGGCACACGGGTTGAATTAAAGAAATAACATGTGCAGACAATGCAATCATTGGAATCAGAGCCGAGGAGCCCTGCTCGGTGAAGCCACATTATGCGTTCTAGCAAAGGCTTGTGGCAGACCACGAATAATAGTGTTCTGAGTAAAACGTAAACTTTGACTGGAGCCGAGTAAAATCTGTCAACGAGTGAAATAGGAAACGAATCTCAGGGACCATGAAAGAAATTCAGATGGGAGGTCCATTTCGAACAAGCGATTCCGGCAAATCGAGATGGAACAGGCAAGTTAAACAGGTCGGTGTGATAATACCCCACTAGCATCGTAGCCAGGGGCATACCTCTGAATTAATCGAATATAAACAAGTCAAAAGTGATAGGGCGGGAGTGGGATGAGAGGATAGGGAGAAGGTAGATGTGCCAGCCAAGAGTGAAAACACAATTGTTCGGCAGAAAGTTGGTCAAGGGCTGACTTCATTTTTCTCTTTGATGAGTTTTATCTTACTGAAGATGTCGATTACGTTGCCGGCGAAACGTCTGGGACTGTACCAAGTCCATGATCCAATTCTGAGAATTATAACTACTATAGCAGGCAAATTTGGACAAATTGTATCCAACTTAATCGTCCTGACAACAATTGCACGTTGTGAAAACGAGGTCAGCCCACTTCTATGCTGTTTTATTGTATTGTTAGGCAAAGCGTGACCTTCGTTCCTTTGTTTGCCAACGCCAAATGAAATGGAAAAAAGAGAAATCTTCAAGCTGTGGTCTTGTGCAGTAAGTCGAATGCTTATGCTTTAGGCCGAAGTCCCTACTTTGGTCCTTTGACTCATGAAAGCCGCTAGCTTTATGTCACGAATACAAGGAGTGATTTGATGGTAAATGGGTATTTGGCAGGGTTACTAACAGATGTGTTCGTCAGCTGACCTGGTCGTGGGTGCAGTTGGAGATATCGTGTCCATTGATAAACAACACTTGGTCACCCTCGTTCAGGCGGGGAATACAAAGATCGGCCGGCATGTTGTAGCCTACTCGGCTGACCAGAACTGGCGTCTGATGGTTCACGCCGCCAGTCACGTTGAAGCCGAATCGACCGGCGCTGTCAGGTCGAATCCTGATTGTTGCTACCTGACCGGCCGTCTCTGATCCCGAATTCGAGCTATCACCAACGGAGAGCCTGGTTGTCATGGTGGTTGTGGTAAGGCTGGTGTTGGTGTTGGTACTGCCCGCAACCGTCTGCACCGGCTCAAGGTTTGAGGTCATCTGAGTGTCGCCAGAAGAATCTAATGAACCGATGGTTGTCAGACCGCTGGCGAGACTTCGACCGAGCTGAAAAGGAGAACAAGGGTCAGGCGGGGTGCACAAGAGAGCAGTAAGTATTTCTAAAGAGGGAACATCACAGTAAAACAAGACGGTTTCTTGATACCACTTTGATCAATGATGCTTTTATGACAAAAAAAAATCATCGCTTACACGAATGGTTCGAGGCTGTTCACTAAAATCAATAAATATTACCACTTTG